TCAACACTCCCCTCACTCTGCTGGTGGCACATGAGGTCAGGATGCGGTACGCACTCAACACTCCCCTCACTCTGCTGGTGGCACATGAGGTCAGGATGCGGTGCGCACTCAACACTCCCCTCACTCTGCTGGTGGCACATGAGGTCAGGATGCGGTACGCACTCAACACTCCCCTCACTCTGCTGGTGGCACATGAGGTCAGGATGCGGTGCGCACTCAACACTCCCCTCACTCTGCTGGTGGCACATGAGGTCAGGATGCGGTACGCACTCAACACTCCCCTCACTCTGCTGGTGGCACATGAGGTCAGGATGCGGTACGCACTCAACACTCCCCTCACTCTGCTGGTGGCACATGAGGTCAGGATGCGGTACGCACTCAACACTCCCCTCACTCTGCCACGCCCTTCCGTTACCCACCACCAGGCGAGGACCCCAGCTGGTGCTACGACAACTTGGTCAATGCACGGGCTTTAAAGGCAGTGGACAACGTGCGCAACCAGCTGGTGCGCATCATGATGCGCTACGGACTTCAGTTGTGGGCTTACTATGTGCTCTACTCCTCTGCTCCCTCCATACACCACCAGGCGAGGACCCCAGCTGGTGCTACGACAACTTGGTCAATGCACGGGCTTTAAAGGCAGTGGACAACGTGCGCAACCAGCTGGTGCGCATCATGATGCGCTACGGACTTCAGTTGTGGGCTTACTATGTGCTCTACTCCTCTGCTCCCTCCATACACCACCAGGCGAGGACCCCAGCTGGTGCTACGACAACTTCGTGAACGCACGAGCCTTGAAGGAAAGCGGAAAACGCGCGGAACTAGCTGGTGCGCATCATGCTGCGCTACGGCCTCAGATCTCCCCTCACTTCGCCACTCCCAAAACCTTTTGAGACGTCTCAAAAACATCATGCTGCGCTACGGCCTCAGATCTCCCCTCACTTCGCCACTCCCAAAACCTTTTGAGACGCCTCAAAAACATCATGCTGCGCTACGGCCTCAGATCTCCCCTCACTTCGCCACTCCCAAAACCTTTTGAGACGTCTCAAAAACATCATGCTGCGCTACGGCCTCAGATCTCCCCTCACTTCGCCACTCCCAAAATCTTTTGAGACGTCTCAAAAACATCATGCTGCGCTACGGCCTCAGATCTCCCCTCACTTCGCCACTCCCAAAACCTTACCCACCACCAGGCGAAGATGCTAGCTGGTGCTACGATAATTTCGTGAACGCACGTGCGTTGAAGGCGGCGGACAACGTGCGCAACCAGCTGGTGCGCATCATGATGCGCTACGGACACGAGATGTTCTCCCCTCCGTCTGTCACTCCCATACCTTATTCACCTCCTTACTCACCACTCCACCAGGCGAAGACGCTAGCTGGTGCTACGACAACTTTGTCAACGCCAGAGCGCTCAAGGCAGCGGACAATGTGCGCAACCAGCTGGTGCGCATCATGATGCGCTACGGACTCAAGATGTGCTCCACGGCGTTTGAATCGTCCGCCTACTACCCCAACATCCGCAAGGCGCTTCTATCTGGGTTCTTCATGCAGGTACGGGGTGGAGAGAGAGGGTGGGGGGTGAGGGGGGGAGGAGGAGGAGGACTGGTGTGTTTGTGTGTGTGGAGGAGGGGATAGGAGTGGTCTCTATCGTTTGAGATGTCCGCCTACTACCCCAACATCTACAAGGCTCTGCTCGCAGGCTTCTTCATGCAGGTGAGCCGTGGAGAGGGGTGGGCATGTATTTGTGTGTGTGTGTGTGGAGGGGGGTGGGTGGGTGGATGGGTGGGTGGGTGTATGGGTGTGTGGATGTGTGTGCTTGTGTCTGCGAGTGTATGTGTGCGTGCATGCGTGTTCATGTACATGTGCACGCAGGGAGGGATTGTGGGAGATTGTGGGAGATTGTGGGAGATTGTGGGAGATTGTGGGAAATTGTGGGAGATTGTGGGAGATTGTGGGAGATTGTGGGAGATTGTGGGAGATTGTGGGAGATTGTGGGAGATTGTGGGAGATTGTGGGAGATTGTGGGAGATTGTGGGAGATTGTGGGAGATTGTGGGAGATTGTGGGAGATTGTGGGAGATTGTGGGAGATTGTGGGAGATTGTGGGATTTGTGGGAGATTGTGGGAGGGAGGATGGAATTTCAGTACTGTGCACTAGTGCTGGTCCTCTGGACTGCCTTTGTGTGCTCCTCCAAAACCTTTGCAACCTTCCCAAATCCCATCCCCTACCCCTCCCTCTTCGTCTCTCCACTCTCGTCTTGCTGTTTTACTGCCCCCCACTCTCCTTTACTTTCACTTCCCCTTGCCGGTTCCGCTCACCCCTTCCTCTGCCCCGCTTCTTATTTCTCTTGACCCCACATGTCGTTTCCCTTTGCCCACGTCTGTCTCGCGTCTTGAATGCCCCTCTCAAGACGTCCCTCTCAAGACATCCCTCTCAAGACGTCCCTCTCAAGACGTCCCTCTCTGCTGTCCCCCATCCATCCCCCCTTTCCCGCTGTTCCCCCCATGCGCGCTCCCCGCTCCTGTCCTCTTCTCTACCCCACACAGGTGGCGCATTTGGAGAGGACAGGGCACTATCTGACAGTCAAGGACAATCAGGTGGGCCAAACAATTAGGATTACCTGGTGACTAAGTGAGCAGCACTTAGTGACGAGTACTTTGGTGAGCAGCATTTGATGTGAGTTCACTGCAAGCTTGTTTGTCTTCCGCAGGTCTCGTCTCATCTCAACATCCCACCTCTCCTTTGTGTCCTCTCCGCTTTCACCCACCTCCCTCTCCCCCCTGTTCCCTCCCCCCTCTCCCACTGCAGATCAGGCATCTGCATCCGTCCACGGGGCTGTCCCACAAGCCAGAGTGGGTGATCTCCAACGAGTTTGTGCTCACCAGGCTGTCTCCCTGCTCTCACCTCTCCCTTGTGCCGTTCTCCCCTCTCCGCACCCCCCTTGCCCCTTCCTCCCTCATCCCCCACCCTCTTTTCCAGATCGTGCATCTGCATCCATCAACAGGCCTGTCTCACAAGCCAGAGTGGGTGATCTACAACGAGTTTGTGCTCACCACCCGGAACTTCATCCGCGTTGTCACCGACGTCAAGGGCGATTGGTGCGTATGTGCGGTGGTGGCAGGGGTGACTGGTGTCTTTGTAGGGGGGATAGGGGGGACTGGTGCATGTGCGCTGGTTGTAGGGGGCTTACAGGTGGGGGGGGGAGGGTGGGGGGGGTTGCATGTTGCCATCTCACTGCTACGATTTGGCCAACTTGAGTCAGTGTGAGATGGTGCCTGTCAGGGAGGGGGGGGGGGGGTTGCGCCACCTTAGCTGCGCCTGGCCTTCCTCTTCTCTGCAACTTAACCTGTTTCTGAAATCCACTGTCCATCTTCCCTCTTTCCTGTCGATGGTCTACCCTTCACCAGGTGGACATCGCCCCACACTAATACGACCTAGCCAACTTCCCTCAATCTGACTCCACCTTTCTCTGCACCTTCCCTCTCCCCCTCCCCTTCCCCTCCCCCCCCAACCTCCTTCTCCCCCTCTCCCCCCTTCCCCTCCCCCCTCTATTCGTGCAGGCTACTGGACATCGCTCCGCATTACTACGACTTGGCCAGCTTCCCTCAGTGCTATCAAGCCCTTTCACTGCCCTCCCCTCCAACTGTCTTTCCTCTCCCTCTTCTACCCCTCACAGGCTACTGGACATCGCTCCGCATTACTACGACTTGGCCAACTTCCCTCAGTGCGAGGCGCGACGAGTGCTGGAGCGTATTGTGCTCGTGCGCAACCGGGACAGAGTCGAGGCAGCTAAAAAGGGGGATAGCTAGTCCATGCAATGGAATGAGTTGGGGTAAATGCACGTCTCTGGAGTTTGGCGTTTTGAGTTGCCTGCTGCCGGAATAAACCAGAACCTCTTTCCGAGAAATTCGACACGAGCTGGTGTGAAGAGAATTCAAGGAGACTCTTTCATTGCAGGAAACCTGGAGAATGTCGACCTGGATGACATGACGACATTTATGCGATGTAGGGATTAGATTGTACATGTGCTGAACGGGAAATGCAGTGTAGTACTAACATGACATGAGTGCCGTAAGAAATGCTTAGCATATTATCGTTAATGAAGTACGATACCGTTGCTAAAATCGTTTCGTCTCTGAAGTACCTAAGCTTAGTGCACAAGCTATTCATCCCAGGGCTTCAAATTGGTACTAGCTAAACACATGTGCACAGTACAAGCTATCATCTTTAACCCCAATGATAGACACACCAGCAGACACTACGGTATTTGTATTAAAATTATGAATCAATGCCCAGCATTGGCTGCACTACAAGTTGCGATCTAACCACATGGAGCCCATCACTCCAAGTGATGCTACCAGGAGAGAACCTTGCTCTCGCTATTGTTGGTGTTATCCATACCGAGTACCAAACACTCTGGTTTGGATATATAGTAAACTGGGAAGGGACCACTTTCACCTCCGTACCTTCCGGCACTTCTAGCGTGCAAGTGTACTTCGCCGCACGTAACGCCACGTTGGTAACCCGCCGGGTAACCTGAACCGTCTTGTTCAGCCGCGCGACGACAATGTTCGGCTGGTTGAGCATGTAAGGCTTTACTGGGTCCAACTTTATCGGGCGAAAAATCCCCTTCGTAAGCCCGAAGCGAAGACCCGCGAGGAAATTTATGTAACCCTCGATTCCGACGTCGTAGACCAGTCCGGGGCTGAGAACTCGCGAGGGAACCACGTGTCCCGATCCAAACACCCACGGATTCGCGTCGACCCACGTAGACATTTGAATGGGCTGGCCCCACGCGTCTTTCACTCGCGCTGTGGTCATGAGAGAGGATTTCACCGCAGCCGGCGTCCAATCCGGATGCTTCTGCATCACCATCGCTGCGATCCCAGCCACACACGCCGCCGAAACCGACGTTCCAGATTGCATCGAGAACCCCGGAGAGTTTCCATATGCTGCTGCGGCGAGGATAGTAAGTCCCGGAGCAACTAAATCGGGCTTTAAGACGTCGTTGGTGATGGTGGGTAGGGGCCGGTATGGCCAGCCGGGACGGTAAGGCGGTCCTGAGGAGGAGAAATACGCCATTATCGGTGATCGGACTTTTCTCGGCTGCTCCAAAACGAGGTGGGAGAGAGTAGCGGTAGGACTCGCCGTCTTCATGATGTAATCCCTTATAAGCACACCCTTGGGGTACCCAAAGGAAATCACCGGAAAAGTCCCGCTCACGCTGCGCACGCTCTCGTTAGAGTTTCTCGGTATAAGCACCATGCCTCGTGCCCCCGCGTCCTGAACCGTCCTCGCTTTCTTCTCCGGGCTGATCCCGCCGATGTAACACAAGACGAGTCCGCTGCCCACTTTTTCAGCGTCGATCTTTCCCGGGCGGCACTGCCGCGCCTCCCAAAGGGCGGCGCCTTTGGCATGGGCCTCCTCCGAGTCAATGAGGGGGAGGTTGGCAGTTAGCACGCCGTCGCCGCCCGTCTGGGTGAGCCCGAAGAGCACAGTGCCGTTGCCGAGGGTGAGCGTGGCGCTCCACTCGCGATCCGTGGCGCTGAGAGTGGGGAAGGGGGGGTGGGAAGCGAGGGAGAAGGGTGGTTTGGGTGAGAACAAAGGGTGCGGTGCCGTTGCCGAGGGTGAGCGTGGCGCTTTACTCGTAGTCGGTGGCACTGGGAAGGGAGGACGGTGGGGGAGGGGGGGAAATTTTCGCTTTGTTAGGTTTTGAATTCCTAACAAGAACTCCAGTACGTTAGGGAGGAATGGGGAGATGGTTGGTCTTGTGAGCCCCAAGAGGATAATGGCAGCAGGAGGGCGGCACCCAAGAACATCCACCATAGTGCCTCTCCGTCATTGTTCGTCCCCTTACTCACTATCTCCCACTTCCCCACCTCCCCCACTCCCATCCTCCCCTCCTCACCTCCCGCACCCCCTTCCCCTCTTTCTCCCCCCTCTGCACTGCACCCAGCCAAGCCCCCCTTCTTGTATTGTGCTCCCCCCTCCCCCTGCTTCCCCCAACTGTCTTACCTTGCACCAACTGTGAGTATATAGGGAGCGACATTCGTTAGAGTGCGCCAATATGTGGGCGTTGGGGGAGGCCCGTTGTTGCCTGCTGGCGCCACCACCAGCACACCCGCCTGTAGAAAGAATGAAGGAGAGGGAGAGAGAATCAAGTACAGTAAGTACAGTGTCCGCAAATGAATAAAACTCGGGTAACATACAAATACAGTAGAACATCTATAGGCATGTAAAAAATTGCACGGATACACCCACCCACCCACCCACCCACCAGAACCGCGCGTAACAAAAAGATGGAGTTGAAATAATTGTCGTCCGTGCCGCCCACAGCTAGCGACAACACGTCAACCCCGTCCTTCATCGCATCTTTTTTAATCACTAAAAAAAACAAATACACCCACCAACCTGAACGGCCCGTAGCAGAAAAATGGAGTTGAAATAATTGTCGTCCGTGCCACCAACGGCGAGCGACAACACGTCGACCCCGTCCTTCACCGCATCTTCCACTGCAGCCATGACGTCAGCAAGGCTGCTCATGCCGCCCCAGATAACTTTGTACACTGCGATGCGCGCGCGAGGCGCCACGCCACTGAGCGACCCGAGAGTTGCGTAGTTCACCTTCACTCCCGCGTTCCCTGCTGCGACGCTGGGGGGGAAAAGCGAGGGCGGCGGCGGCGGGGGAAGAGGGGGAAAGAGAGCGGAGGTTGAAGTAGGGTGAAGTAGTTCGCCTTCACTCCCACGTGCCGGGGAGAGACGGGGGAGGGGGGAAGTGGAAAGTCGGGAAGGAAGGTTAAGGCGAGGAGGAAAGCGAGATGGGGGTGGGAGAGAGGAGGAATCGGGAGGAGGCGGAGAGAGGACTGGGAGGAGAGTTGAGAAGGGGGATGGATAGGAGAGGCTGAGAAGGCGATGGGGGCGCTACGCCGCTGCGAGAACCAGTCGGGCCGTAATTAGCCATCACACTCACATTGCTCGCTGCCACCAATGGCCGTACCCCTTGCCCCGTGCTGCTTGCCCCGTGCTGCTTGCCCCGAGCCGCTTGCCCCGTGCTGCTTGCCCCATGCCGCTTGCCCCGTGCCCCATGCTCCGCGCACCAAGACTCACCCGGCGCAGAACGTGCCGTGCCCCATGGCATCGCGCGGCGACCGGTACTCCCCCTTCGCCATGCCCCATGCCCCATGCCCCATGGTCAGGTGCCCCGTGCCCCTTCCCCCGCGCCCGTTACCCCGCAACCTTTTCCCTGTGCCCCGTGCCCCGCGCACCAAGACTCACCCGGCGCAGAACGTGCCGTGCCCCATGGCGTCGCGCGGCGACCGGTACTCCCCCTTCGTCAGCGCGCCCTCGCCGTACTCTTGTAGAAACCCGTCCATATAGTACCGCGCCCCGACGATCTTATTGTTACACCCGTTAAAGTCGCGCGTCACGTTACAAACCCCGCGCCACCCCGTCAGAAGTTGCGAACCGGAATATCCGCGACCCGAGAACGACGGGTGCTGCGGCCATATCCCCGAGTCGACGAATCCGATAACAGTGTTATCACCCGCGTATCTTGCGCCGCCAAACGCGGCCCACGTGGTCCGGGGCAGCTGCAGGAATTCCGGGACGTGCGTCATCATTGGTCGAAGCGATCGCATTCGCGAAACGCGGTGCACGCCAGGATGCCGCTTTAATAACCGGACCTGGTCGGACGTAAGGCGCACCGCGAACGCGTTGGCCACATAGTGGTAGCTATAGACTAAGTCCGAGCCGCTTAGTCCGATGTCTGCTAGGGTCTCCTCGTGTGTGGATCTTAAATGCTGCGCGTACGCCTGGACGTGCGGCGATGACGGGTCCGGCCGATGCGCCTTGGCCCTCTCCCTCGTCTTGCTGCGTCCGCCCATGCTTCCCCCACTGCTTCCCCCGCTGCTGCCTTTCAAACCCCGACGAATGCTGCCGCCCATTAGCGCGCCAGCTCGTAACCGTCTTTCCTGCAGTCGTCTCTTGCGAAACCGCGCTTCTTGTAACCCTTCGCCGTGTAACCGTCTATCGCGTGGACGACGATGCTGTGTATGTCTCGGTAGTGCGTGACTCGCTTCTACATCTTCTTCACCCTCCTGAAACAGCTTCCTCCTAAATCGCGAATCCTCTGTTCGCGAGTCTCCTGCGGGTAACCGTTCCTCTTGTAACCCTGGCTCCTCCTCTAACAGTGCCTCTTGTAACGGTTCCTCTTGTAACCGTCTTTCGTCAATCTGCATAGCCGAAATTTCTTCGCCACCCTTCTCTTCCCTCCGGCTACCGCCCTTCCGATCCTTTATCGCATCCCTAACCGACCTATCGCCCCCTTCCTTGTAACCATCCCTTCTCTCGTTACCATCATCGCTACTATCACTATCTCTATAATCCCCGTAGTAATCCCGATAATCGTAATCACCAGCGTCCCCTCGTCTGCTTCTATCATTTCCCAATTCTACACTCTCCTCCTCCTCCTCCGCCTCCTCCTCTCCCTCTTCCTCCTCCTCCTCTTCCTCTGTAGCAGCGGCTGTAGCCGTCGCCTGTAGCCCGTCCACACCGCCGTGATAGCTTATCACGGGCGGCAGCGCCTTCATGTACACCGTGTACAGCTGCCGGCTGTAGCTCACGGACCCCAGCGACACGTGGCGGGAAATCGAAGCGGCAGAGGAGGACGAAGAGGACGGCTGCGATTCCGTGTTTGTACGCGTTACAAGGGTCGCCGAAACAAGCAGAGTTATCAACAGCGGTACAAGTACCGTCTGGGATTTCCGTGCCATGGTGAAGTGCGGTTGCCCCTCGGTGTGTTTTATCCCCGATATTGACAAGCTCGTGTAGAGACGTTGATGATAGTCTCGCAACGTCCAGTTAACCCCGATACTGCGGTGAGAATCTACGGGCATGTGTTAGGCGCGACAGAAAGAGACTTCGCAAACCCAGGAACTGTAAGGGAAAGGAAGTCGCTCGTTGGCATCTCGGTGCCTGTGCAATCTCAGTGACACTGGCGACTCGGTCGCACGGAAGCGACAGCAAACGACAGAACGAATCGGTCGCACGGAAGTGTCAGTAGCGACTGGACGAAACGGTCGCACGGAGGCGTAACAAACGGTAGTACGCGCCACGTCCTAGAACAAGACAACTTGGAAAGAAGCGAAATGCGGCAAGGAGTTTCAAACCGTTGCACATATGGTGCACGTTGCACTGAGACTTGTCCTATGTGTCACCCTTAGAGTGTGCTCGCAAGATATATGGAAGCTTAGATGCTCGCAAAATATATGGAAAACTCTGGAGGCAGGAGCGACGCGAAACAGAAGCCAGTAATCACTACGTATCAAAACGGCGAAACCCTAAAACTGCCTTGCAACTAAGCGATTCCTTAGTTCCGAACGAGAGGAGCGGCTCGCAGAGAGAGAAGGGCATTACGGGTCAAGGTTCCACCAACCCCATCGCGAGAGCTTTGGGTTGATGGACCACGGCACGACACAGCACACACGAGCTACTGAATACAGTATCAGATGCTGAGTGAGTCGGGGAAATTGAAACTGTCACACACATCGCTGATGATGCACATCTCCCTCTTTCTCTCTCTCTCACTCCGACCCATCCCATGATGATTAGCGGATGGAGGTGGGGCATCAACTAGCACAGCACCGTTCAACACCGAATGGAGTGCGTATTTTTCAATACACGTACTGTATTGGGTGGGACTAGGAAGCGGGACTTCTTGTATGTTTATCGTTCTGAAACGCAACGCACCGTGGTGTTTGAATCAAATCGACACTATTTGCACAGTTCACATGTGTAAGCTGGACGAGGTCGGTTGAAGTGTATGAAGCGCTGTGGTGGGCAAGAAAGAACCTGAAGTCAGCAGGTTATCAGGTGTCTGCGAAACCGAATCGCTGTTGCCGTTTCCAATGTGTTCATGTGGATGTCCTTCCTTCTCATGCCAAATGCCATGGCAGCCTAAATGTTCCGCCGGGCCACGAATTGAGGCTCGGAGACGTGTTTCTGCACGAAAGTCGAGCTTCGGAAATATTCGAAGCTTCTTAGTGGCACCTGGCCATGTTCGTGGGCGAGCGCGGCTTGCGGCGACTGAATCGCATACATTTCCTGTCAACACGAATTTGTCGTGTGCCACACGCGGTTCCGCTCTTGGCGAACTCTCGCTGTTCAGATGCGATGGCTGGTCGTTACCAATTCGTTCGGTTCTTTCGGTTCCTCGTCAACAAATGTCGGTGCCGTGTGCGAACAAATGCGAGCAGCACGGCATTCGGTCTGGGATCTGTCTGCACCAATACGACCCACATTTCTGGGAATCCAGATCAGTCCACGACGCGGCAAACGAGATGCTGTACAACATTGGTGCGTGGTGTATGCGAAACGGGTTTCGTTAATAGTCTATCATACGCAGCAGTGTGCACCCAAACAGAGATCAACTATAATCAAGCTAGAAATGACACACATTGTTAACATGTGTATAGTGAAACTTGGAAAAGTTGAAGTGAACACCTGCAACCCTGGAATTTTCCATGTCGAATAAGATCATATCTGTTTCCCTCATAAATGCACCAGATATAACATCAATATTGTTACATGCTGTTGGGCCCATTTCATTCGTCAAATACACCCCTGCAGTCACAATTACCTACACAACGCCATACCTGGCTTATTCTGTTAGAATATATCTGTAACTGCCTGTAGCTAGTTATTATAAACTTATTGGTGGTGCACCTTCTTTGCATGCTTTGTTGACTATTTGTACCTCGCTCAATAGTGATCTCACACTTTCTTTGGCTAAACTCTCTCGACTCCCTTTGGCCTAGGCTACTAAGCCTAGGCCCTACTCTTACTGTTCAACATGGTATTCAGAGCAGGCACCTTCCTGCTGCCTTCCTTAACAGGCCCACCAAGTCTTCCGCTGCTGTCCTGCCTATCGCACGCTATGGGCGCGCGGCGGTTTTCTGCCCGTCGCGCCGCCCTGCTGAACGCGCGACGCCCTGCCTGCCCGTCGTGCGCCCCGTGGCGCGCGACGGTGCCCTGCCTACCCGTCGTGCGCCCCGTGGCGCGCGACGGTGCCATGCCCGTCGTGCGCCCCGAGGCGTGCGGCGGTTTCGTCGCCTGTCGGGCGCACCGGGGGCCCGCGCACCCCCCCCCCCACCCCCCTGCCTTTTCCCGTCGCCCGTCGCGGCGCCCTGGGGGGCCGCGACCTGGGGGGGGGGCGCGCGTCGCCCCTTCTGTCGCCCGTCACGGTGCCCTGGGGGGGCCGCGCGTCGGCCCCTCCCGTCTTCGTCGCGGCCCTGCCCTGCCCTGTCGTCCTGCCCCGGCCCTGTCCCGTCCCTGCCCTGCTGCCGCCCCTGCTACGGCCCTGCCCTGTGTTGGGGTTTGGGGGTGGTGAGGGTGGTGTGTTTCCCTTCCCCTCCTCCTCCTTTCGTTCCCACTGCTGCAGCTGCCGCTGGGGGGGAGGGTGTGAGGGTGTGGGGGAGCCAGGGGAGTGGCATTGGGGCGGCGGGTGTGAGACCAACCAGCCCCCCCCCCCCTTCGGAGTGGTGCTTGGGGGGTGGAGTGTGAGTGGAGTGTGATGCTGTTTTCTCTGTTCGTGGTGTACCCATCCAGGATGTGTTGCTGCACAGACTCCTGCTGCAGGCAGTTATGGGGGAGTGTTAGAATATATCTGTAACTGCCTGTAGCTGTAGTTAGTGTAGTTATTATAAACTTATTGGTGGTGCACCTTCTTTGCATGCTTTGTTTACTATTTGTACCTCGCTCAATAGTGAACTCACACTTTCTTTGGCTAAACTCTCTCGACTCCCTTTGGCCTAGGCTACTAAGCCTAGGCCCTACTCTTACTGTTCAACATATTCCAGTACTGTTACGAGTGCAATGGAGTGAGCGAGCGAGGATTGCACTATCGAGACAAGATACAATGAGCGAAGAATATATAGCGAAACTATAGTGGTAACGGTAACGTGGGAAAAATGGGGTGCGCGACGGGCCTGATGCCGAGGTTTGGGGAACTGTCGAGGCGGAGGTCCGGAGCGCGGGTTACCAACCGAACCGTGTGGTTGGGTCGCATCGTGAACAGTGGCGGGAATGGTGTCGGGGCGAATGTCGCGAGTGGTAACGGGATATTGTGGGGTGCTGTCAGTGTTGTACGCGCTGAGCAGGGACGCGAAGTAAGGAAAAGGAATTTTCCTTACACTACCCCCCCCTCAAGGAGGCCTCCTTTACCAGAGCGCGTGTATATCCCGGAAATTTCTGCTGCGCAAGTAGTCGTTGAGGACGGGGTGGTTTTCGATTTTGTCCAGGGGAACCCAGTTGTCCTCGGTGGGTGTGCGGTCTCTCCAGCGTATTAAAAATTCGACCCTTCGGGCTCCTCGTGGGTCACGAACTCGGTGGCTCCGAATCTCTTCGGGCATGATGACTGGCTCGGTCGGTGGTCGGATCATGCTGGTTGGGCGATGTTGGGCCAGTTGGCTGGTGGATGGGATGTAGGGGCGAAGTAGGCTGACGTGGAAGGAGGGGCTGACGTACCAGTCAGCGGGGAGGAGGAGGTGGGCGGTGACCGGTGTGACCATGTGGCTGATGCGGAACGGCCCACAATATCGGGGGCGGAGTTTCAGAGTTATGGGCAGGCGGAGGTTTTGAGTGTTGAGTAGAATTAAGTCGTCGGGTTGGTAAGTGACTGGTCGGCGGTGTCGGTCTGCGTTGCGCTTAGCGATAACGTTCGCCTTTTTAATTGCGTCTGCTGCCCTGGTCCGAGCTTCTTGTAAAATTTATGCGAACTGTTGCGCTCGTGGCACCGGGTTGTCGGGATTCGGGGTCATGGGTACTGTAGGGTCTTGTCCGTAGTTCAGGTAAAATGGCGATTGTTGGGTCGTGGCGGATGGCGAGTTGTTGTACGCGAATTCGATTAGTGGAAGTTGCTGTTCCCAGGTGGTGGGGTCGTCGCACGTGGCCCGGATTAACTGTTCCATGGTCTGGTTTGTCCGTTCTGTCTGTCCGTCGGTTTCGGGGTGGTACGAAGAACTGATCTGCAGCCTCGTGCCGAACTGCTGCCACAGGTTCCGCCAAAAATTGCAGGTAAACTTCGTATCTCGGTCGCTGATTATCGCTGCTGGTATCCCGTGTAATCGAACAACGGTTGCGATGAAGAGGCGGGCCGTTTCTTCGGCTGTGATTGATTTCTTGCATGCTGCGAAATGTGCCATTTTCGTCAGTCGATCGACGACGACCAGGATCGCGTCGTTCCCACTCGCACCCGCCGGTAACCCCGTGACGAAGTCCATCGTCACCTGCTGCCAAGCACGCTCTGGGGGTGGTATCGGCTGCAATTGTCCTGCCGGCCGCTTCCGTGATGATTTCATGACCTGGCAGGTGGGACACGATGCCACGTGTCGTTGCACGTCGGTCAACATTTCGGGCCAGTAGTAGTACCGTTGCAGCTGCTGCCGTGTTTTCTCTACTCCGAAATGCCCTGAGGTGACTCCGTCGTGTGCCTCCTGCAACAGTAATTCCCGTAGAAGTGTGTAGCCCGGTACCCAGATGCGATCGGTGCCGGCTTTTACGTAATAGACTCCTCTTGCTGCTGCAAACTGCT